GGAAGCCGCGGGTGTAGGGGTGCGCGGGCCGCGAGCCTCCCTCAGAAATCCAGTGACCGCGGAGGAGGACGGTTTAAGGAACACGAGGAATGTGATAATATTGGCATCTAACCTTATAGTGTTTGAGTAATTCGTTGCTTAGCTACTTTGGATAGGCCATTATTTTGCAAACTGGAAACATTTGCAAGTGGTGATATTTTGCTCCTGCCTGACGCAGGGGCTGCAAACCTACCCCTGCTCTGCTGAACTCTTCGAAATATATATGCATAAATTGTTCCTAATGAGACCATCTGTTTTTTATGGCCCCTCTGGAAGCAGGAGGAACCCGAAGACTGCTCTGTCTTGCAGAAATCTGTGGCCAGACAGGCCAGGGAAATAAATAGGGAAGATTAGAAGGGTGTGCGTGATTTAACAGTATGCAGACAGGGGGTTCGGTGGTCGAAATGTGTGCATGGGTTCCCAGGGGTGCGGGTTATTGAGGGTGCCTCTGGGCTGCTTGAGGAATGAGGGTTCCAGCCAGTGGGCCTCCTAGGAGGCCCTGGGACTATGCAGGGTTTCACAGCACACATGAACCTCGCTTTTCCATGCCTGGAACATAACCAGAGCCACCCCCACGAAACCACATGCCTGCCGCTGCTCGCGGAGCCCAGACATGTACCGGCGGTGGTTGCCCCCCAGCGTCACCCACTAACCGGGGTCTCCCCCTGCTGCGGAGGTGAAGGGAGCCGGGCCTGGAGCACATAGCTTGAAAACGCAATTCACCCGACCCCCGGCGGGAGTGCTGCGCTCACCCGGGGCCTATCCCAGAGGCTGAGCTTTCTGCCTGACGCTCGTCTGGCAGGCCCAGCGTCGCGTCCTGAGCCCGCACTGAGGGTGGCAGGGCAAACACTTTTCACATTACCCGGAGGCTGTTAATTGGGGCAGTGCAAAAGACGCCGAGCCTACTCCTTTGTGGCGGGGGGCGGGGGTGAGGAGTGGGCAGTGGGGGCCGCTTAATAATAGAGGGGCTGCCCTGGGGAGCCTCAGATATCGGTAACCCCCATGATTAATTCATAACTCTCCACTGCGCCTGGCACCGTCTCGAGTCTTTAATCGGTTCTGAATGTCAGCGAGGCTTCCCCGACAGGCTGAGCGCAGCCTTTTGAATGTGTTGAAAGTCGCTGCGCGCACACCAGGAGACAAAGTTGCCATCTGCTCCGGGGACCACGGCAACTGGGCGCTGGGAGGGGCTTTCCTCCCGCGGCCGCGGCTGTCCCGGGCGGCCTCCACTTCTCGGCCGGCCCCAGTCTTGCCCCAAAGCCAACAATGTACCCCACGATCTCCCAGCCCCCCACCCAGGGCGCACGCCTGCTGGAACCTCCCTCTCGCTGAGAAGCCGAGCGCGGCGCCGGGGCGCACGGGGAGCCTGGCGGTCACCCAGACCCAGGCCTATGCTAATGAGATTATGAACCGGGGTTGTTTGTGTGCGCGAACATGGAAGGGGGCCAGATAAAGTGTGGAGAAGGGGATGACTTAGAGGGGGGAGGGGGAAGCCCTGGGAGAACAAAGCCCCAGGCCCTCGGCCTCCAGAGTCGCAGAAGTGACCGCCACTGGCTCGTGCACAGGCGGAAGCGGGGGGAGGGAGAGAGGCCGGGCCTAAAGCGCCCTCGCGGATTTAGACAACGCAGAGAAAACACAGGGGATGGGGAAAGGCTGAACCTGAATCTCTACATTTGGTTCGTAGGCTATTTTTTAAAGAAATGGCTCTCAGGGAAGTGGGGAGGGGCATCGTGCCCCGGAGAGGTAGGCGGAAGAAACCCTGTCCCCCTTTCCCCAACCAGCAGAGGGTGTGCTGTGACCAATCTCCCCACTGCGGACCAGTAGGGGGGCAGAGCCGCTGGGGACGGACTGCTGGCCCGAGCTGGCCCTGTGTCTGGCGGCTGCGAGCCTGTGCTTCCTCGCTCCCTGGCTCTGCGCGTCGCCTCTCGCCGCAGCGCCTCGCCTCCCAACTGTAATTCCACCCTCCCGCTGGCGCTGGGGCTGCGGAACCGTTTGAGGGAGTTGGAACGGCATCAGATGAGCACACCGGGAGGTGAGATCGGGTAGGAAATAGCCGAAACTTTTGAGTGGTGTGCCGCTGCCCCCCACACACGTATAATTTCCCCTCCTTCCCAGCCGCCACCTCCCCCATCCTTTCAATTCTTCCAGGTTTGCAGCCCAGTCCTGTCATATGGTTTTGTTTCTATGCTGCTGCTTTTTTTCAGACACGAAAATTGAACACGTGGAGAATTAGCCCGGCTGGAGAAGCGTGCTGGGTGCAGATTCAAACAATGGTTTCCAACAGCGAAGCTCAGGCAACACCTCCCCTACCTCACCCCCAAATGGCAGCAGCACACTCCATCACAACCTACCCCTCCCTCAGAGCCTGGGAAGAGACCAGCGTGGGCTGCACTTTCCGCAGTCTTTTCCCGAGTCACACATCCCTACGTGGGCCCCGGACTGCTGGCTCTGAGATCATTGTGCCTGAGGTCTTTGGGGACTTACAGTAATGGGCCTGCTATTTTTCTCTGGGAAGGTGCTGTCTCAAAGAGCCACCTCAAGTATTAATGTTTAAAACCCGGCCCAGGCTCCAGGTCTCCATCCTTTGGCAATTGTGCCCTTATTCCCTTCTTAGGTCGTACTTTCTTAAGCAGCTTGGAGCACTCCCCACCCCCATCTGATGAGCCAGTCTCCAGGTGGCTGGGCCTCTTAAGAACAGCGTCCTTTAGGATTGTCTTTTCCAGAGGCCCCATCCTCCACAGCAATCCCAAACTGTGACGGCTAGGCCCCCAGCCTCTGAGGCCCCCCGGACTTCACTACACTGGCAGGAGCCGCAGCCCCCCACAGGCAGTTTCTCTCATGCAGAGCCGCTTGTGCATCTCAACCGGGCGCGTACACGCGGCACAGAAGCTCCCAGCCTCCCGGAGCTGGTTTCCTCTTACAGGCTCCCGTCAGAGCTGCCGAGACTGTGGCAACGCCTGCGGCTCCCTGTGCAGCCCTGGGTCTCCCTGCAGCGCTGTGAGCTGTGAATCGGCCTTCTCTTCCTTTCCTGCAAAGGTCAAGCCAGCTCCCTCTCTCACAGGGCCACAGTTCCTTTCCTGCCTGCTGAGCTCATACACTGCAGCTTGGATATGGAGATGGGGTGGGCATCCGTGCAGGGAGTGGTCACCCCCAGGCCAGGGGGCAGGGACGAAGGGTGTGGGATTCAGGAAGGGAAACACTGCAGACAAACCCCAGAAAGCAGTTCAGAATTTGCAGCCAGAGACTCAAGGGAGGGAGAGAAAAACAGGCAAAGGCTGTTAGGCCTTGACTCTTGAAAAGGAAGCCTTTCTCCCCCAGGGGCTGCCCTAGGGGAAGGCCTGGAGAAGGGGCCCTGATGCTTGCACTGTGTCCTGTGCAGTTCCTAGCGCATGAGCACCTCTGGTGAAGCTGCGCTTCATTCCAAACAAGAGTCAGAAACAAGCAAATGGGCTAAGACTTAGAATTTAGTGGCCACGGGAGATCGAGTCAGCTGCCGTCCCCAAACGAGGGACCCCGAGAGGCCTTTCTGCCCCCACCCCACCCAGAGGGGCTACTGAGCTCTGTAAGCAGCAGTGAGGATGACCGCAACTTCTTGGGGTGGAGAAAAATGAGAGGAAACACCATTAAACTTGCTTCCTCTAAAAAGTGAGCGCTACCTTGAGTTTTCTCTGAACTGTACCTAAAAAGTCAGGAGAGAGAACTCATTAATTTTTGTTTGGTTTAACATTGCCAGCTTCAAATCAACCTTAGGCCCCCCCGAAGGTTTTGTAAAATATTTAATCTAGCTCAGACAATTTCCTGCAGTCCCTAACTGGACCACCCCACTTACTGAGCCGCTGCCAAAAAGCAAGTTTGACTGCAGGCTGGCCACCAGAGGCCTTCCAGCTGCCTGGCTGGCCTGTACCCTCCACTCAGGAGTCAGGACAAGCTCCTTTACAGAATCCAGAGAGACCAGGCCCTGGGTCACCCCAAAGTCTCCAAACTGGTGCAGAAGTCCAGGAAATGGAGTTTAAGATGTTTTTCTCATTAAGCTGGTGTTATCTTGGGACCCTCACCCTCCTTGAAGTCTCACCTTTCTCTGGGTACCATGTACTTCGACGAGCGCACACTGTTGGAGGGAATGACCCCTGTGTGCCCCTCCAAGTGCCTTCCACGTCCACCCATTCAGTTTTTTTCCCACATCATCTCACTAGGGAACATAGCAAGCGGTAGTGGGATCCTTCGACTGCGCTGAGCCTTAGCCCCTTCCAAACGTGAGGCTCACAGGGAGAACTCCTGCTCTGCCCAGTTTCCATACCCGCCTCCAGAATAACGAGCCGAAAACATGTGTACTGTAAATAAAGCCTGTCTAAATAAAGCACTCGGGTAAAGGCTGCCGAGAAAACACTCGGCAGCGCTCTGCGCTCAGAGCGTGAGTCAGCTTCCCAGCTCCCGGGAAACAATGAGGACCTTGCCAAGGGTCCCCTTCTGTCAACACCTGATGGCCCCCAGGCCCATTTAGGTGGTGAAGGCTCTTGGCCATAGGGACCTTCGGCCTCTAGGTTCGAAGGGGGAGGGGCGCTCTCGGCGGCCGGAGATTGGGGTCCCGCCTCAGGATTAGCTCCGACAAGAATCCCTCTACCCGCGGCCTCGGCGGAGGAGTTGAGGGTTAAACAAACATGGGGCAGGGGAGTGAGCCTAGGGCGCAGCGGGGCGGAGGCAGGAGGGAAGGGGACGCTGGGGACGCTCGCTACGGAGCCTCCCGGAGGGAAGACGCCTCCTCCTGGTTCCCAAGCCAGACTCTCGCCCACACGGCTGGCTGCCTCTCCTCCGCGGCCTCCCGAGTCTCAGCGGAAACGAACGTAGCTGCTGCCAGTCACCCCACTCCTTTCACAGTCCCCAAGGGCCCCTCCACGTCCACTAGTCTCCCCCCTCCCCCCACGCCGAGTGACACGGCGCGCCCCATTGATGAAGAACAGTACTGAGACTTGTGCTGGCCTCCAAGTTACGTCTTCTATCGCGTCCTCCGAGCTTCCTTGCGGAGCTGCGCACTCCCCAGTAGGGTTTTGACTGGACCGGTGGCCTCTGCTCTGGCGTGGGCCAGTGGTTTCCCCGCGCCCGGTGACCTTGAAGGTCAGTGATCCACCCCGCAGGCCCGCGGTTTCCGGAGTCGCGCGGCCAGCCCTTCCTCCCCGCCTCTCCGGCCAAGGCCGCCCCCGACTGCCTCCTCTTGTCGCGCTCCGGGCGGGGGCGCCAAGGTGCAAGCAACCGAGGGTTTCACCCACGCCCTGCGGACACGTGCCCCGCCGGGGCCGGTGTCGGTGCCCCAGCAGCCTGAAATTGCCAAATCTTCGCTGAGCAGGGTTGGGGGCGAGGCCTTAAGAACTGGGTTTGAGCTGGAGAAGGCGAGGAAAACAAGTGAAACGGGAGGGGCGGGGTGGGGTGACGGCTCATAAATCAGCCAGCCCCACCCTCGGGCCTCACTGCGGAGGCGCCCCAGCTCCGCGGGGGATAGAGGGTCACTCGGCCACTCCTGGCCGACCTCTGAGCTCTCTCGGAGCCAGCGCCCCACCCTGGGCTCAGGCCGCGCTAGGACCAGCTCCCGGCCCGGATCGTAAACCACCCGCCGGATTCGGCGGGAAGCCGCCCTTGGACGCCGCGCGCATCCGCCCAAGGGGAAGTTTATTTATAGCTTGTAAACGTAAAGGAAACCAGACCGCGCTGGCTCGCCGCACTCATGCTCCTACGCTCCCCACCTGCCCACTAGGGAGGGCGCGGCGGGAGGCGAGGAGCCGCCTAGGTTCTCTCCCCCCACACACTCCCTCCCCCGCTGCTCCACTCCCGGGGAAAACAGGGTAAGGTCCTAAGAGGCTGGCAAGCCTTAAATTCCTATCCAGTGCTGTGAAAGCCAGAGAGGGAGGAAGACATGAGCCCCGGCACTGGCGTGCTGAGGGTGGGGCGGCCGAGCTGTCCCACTTGGCATGCACCCGTGGGCAGCGCCGCGCAGGATTTCGCATATCACGCTCCGGGCCTAAGGAAGTCCTGGAGAGCACGGGATGGGGGAGCTCAGAGAGCCTCTCCTTGGAAGGCGGGATGCTTCCCCCGTTCCTCCCGAGCACGTGTCCTCGGCAGTGCAGGCAAGCGCTGCGCTCCTCAGGCTTCGATCCGCGGGTTACAGCGGCTGGGGCGCTCCCGC